CCAATTATTCTAAATTTGCTTACATTATCAATTACTGTATCTGTTTTGATCTAATCCATCTCCACCACAAATCTGTTTTCTGCTTCTTGCACTCTCAACCCAATGTTCCACATGTGTCTCATCTTCGCTTCTGTTTTTCTCCTGATCTCCTTCCTCTTATCATTTCATGTAATGCACTTTTGATCAACCCCCTCTCCTCTTTGTTATAACAGACAAACAAACCATTTTAGCCTTGTCTATCTCATCTTATTCCCACCCCACAATAAATATGAATAAATCTGAAGAAAAAACTCACACAATATTTTGAATCTGTGGCATAATGGCCGGTGGGGTAGATGGGAACGTGAGATGAGTTAAAGCTCTCTCACGAGTCAGATTCAGCGCTCGGTGGCTCACTTTCAGTGGGTGACGGTTGAACTCAAATTCTACACTCACTTTTTGTTTATCCAGAAAAGTCTCCATAAATCTGCAAAAGAAATGTATGTATGTACTGTATATATATATTGCAACATAGAAGGGTCAAATTTCCATGTAAATACACTGCATTTTCACCTTTATCTGCACGGCTTACTCCACACGACCCCAAACCACTAGTTAACCAGCAGAAACACGAGTCATGAGATGGCTCCTTATTGGTGGAAAACCACCGCAGGCTGTTGGGGGCGCCCATCTATGACAGGTGATGTCTACTCTGACCGAGGGGTCAACGTCAGTTCCACTCTCACCATTATTGGCTCCTGTTCACCCTGTTGTGGAGTGACCCACTGTTACCTGCACTGCCTGTTCACCACAGAATCTACTGGCCATCTATTTGTAACATGTATGAGTATAGCTGAGTACAGTAATACCCCGCTTAACGCGGTTTCGCTTAGCGCGATTTCACGTATACGCGGTGCCTCGCCAGAGCCGAACTTTCACTTAACGCGGGTTTTTTCCACGTATATACGCAGAGTGTCCGGCTCGAGACGCTATTTTTAGATTCGCCCCACCTGTCACCCGCCTGCTCTCGCCTCTCCCTCCTCCTCCCTCCCTCCCGCCTCCCTCCACCTGGGCAAGCCGCGCTGTAAGGTTGCGCAGTGTGTGTCTTCTACTAACGTAAGTGTTACACCTAACTTTTAGTTTTCCAAACTTAACCTTTATTTTTCCGAACCTAACCTCTTCTATATTACTTGTTTGTTCATACCATCATAAAGTTAAGATAAAATTTTTACTACAACATAGTTGTGTGTCGTCAAAAAGTGGAGTTTGGGGGTCGGGCCAGTTTCTATTGGAATTAATCCCATACAGTATGTTCTGTTGTACTTAGCGCGGTTTTCACTTAACACGGTACCCTGTGGGTTCTATTGACCGCGTTAAGCGGGGTACTACTGTACAGGTAAATTATTTTTCACCCTTGTATATGTGTTTTGTGTTGACATTTTTAAAGAATATCATTTAAAAATCAATGCATATTTTTCACATCCTACTATTTATACTGTGTTGGGTACTGTCATGTCAACCATGAGTGTGGTATCAACTAATCAATTAAGCAAAGTAACGCTATAATAACTAAACCTACAGTAAAACATAACTAGACAAGATCACATACAAACAGATTGATCATTTGTTATGTAATTGGGCATGAGTTTTACAAGGTATTATAACTAAATCATTTCAACCAAAAAGCCCCTAGACACACACAGAGAAAAGAAATCATTAAAATTCTGAGATTAAAATAAAAGTAAAAGTTAAAGTAAAGTAATTTTAGAATACTGTATAGCACAGTGCAGTGTTGATTTCAATAAAATAATCTTGAATTACACCTAGTGAACTTAAAATTTTATTGGTGAAATGACGGCATCAAGCATGGGTCCCCTGAAAGGTGGTTTCTCCTCCATCCCCACTTCCTTTTCTTCCCTTCTCCTCCACCCCCACTTCTAATTCCCATCATCACCACCATGTGGTGGTCAGTCTCTTATCAAACAAGTCAACTCAGTGAAAGAGTTAAGGGGAGCACCCAGCTGAAGGACCAAATTCGTTAATAATTGATCAATCAATATAAAATTCCTGTCGGCAATTAAGACACTGGATACATTGTTGCTATACCCCTGAATCGGTTCTGCCTAATACCTGATTTTACCCTTATATTCTTACCAATTTTAAAAATCCTACTTTTCCATAACTTATTGCTAGATTACGTTTAAATTCATGTGGAGTATAGGTAATTTACTCCTCTTGAACAAGACATATAGATATTTCTGATTATCGCTTTCGATTTGGGTGTGTGAATTTTTTTTCCTAACTCACCATTTTTTCTCCAAATATCTTTAAAATAAATTGGCAAATAATAAACCAGGCCAAATATAAAGAAAATCTATATGTTCAGCAATGTACATTCTACTACAGTTGGGTCTTCATTCACGTGGTCAACTGAACCCGCGGAGTACCGCGTAAAACGAGAGACTTGTAAATGAAATAACAGAACATATGGGATTAATTGAAATAGAGACTGGGCTGACCCTCAAACTCCACTTTTTCCGACACAATATGTACCTTGTAGTCAAAATAACATCTTAATTTTATGATGGTATGCGCACACAATTAATAATTAAGAGAAATATCAATAATATTAGGTTTTTTAACACATACATTAGTAGAAAAGATGGCTGGGCACACGGGGATGGGGGGGTTGGTTCCGAGGCAGAGGGCAGATTATTGGCCCTCACCTGTATCACTTGTATCACTATCCACCACAGAGGCTTGCAGGGCCTCTTTGTCAAACCCCTCAAAGTCCCTATAAGTCCATATCCTCACTATCACTGACTTGGTCCGGCTGTGGTGGGTAGCGGGTGAAGAACTCGGTAATGTTTTGATGACTGGGCAACCTTGTGCGCACCCTGCCCACGCCGCTTCCCGCGTAAATGAAGCATTTCAATTCTGGCAAGGCACCGCGTAAATGACAAAACGCGTAAACCAAAACCCCGCGTAAATCCAGACTCAACTGTACTTAGTTTTTGTTTTATTAGAATTGGCCCATAAATGGCTGAGCCTTAAGGATTTGAAGGTTAGAAAAACTCGTTTTGAGATATGGGCCAATAAAGGTGACGTGAGGACAACACACAGTCGCACCTCACTCTCTCCTCTTCCATAACTGGGGCCTCAGACTCTTGTCTTGCTAGCTGAGAAAGGTGCCAGATACTGATTTTTACTAAGTGATTGGTATTAATTTACACCAAAATATTATTATAAATACTTTTCTACAGCTTTTGCTATGAAAACAGAAAGCCCTCTCAATGAAGGGGGGAAGGTAGAACAATAATGCATAGCTACACAAATATTACGAATTACGCAGTCAAAATATGTCGGCAGATACCCAAAGGAAACAGCTTTGCTTAGGAATTTTTTTTAATATTTTCGCAATTTTCCGACTTTCATGGTATTTTCAGCCGGATGCTCCTCTTAAGAAAACATATAAATACAGTAAGCTCAATACTCACCCCAACACAAGAAAGGTTATACTATATATATTTAAAAAAAAAATTAAATAAATAAAAAAAATGAGACTAGGCCTAGTGGGATATCATTGTGTCTTAGATTAAGACTACAGTAGTGCGATATCAGAGCAATTTCACCCTCCCAGCTGTTCCTACTGTTATGAAGATTAAAGGACGTACCAGGTAGTACATCCTTCTGATGTAATGCTTGGTGTAAGAGGATGTACCAGGTAAGTCCCTCACTGAAGGGGTTAAATGACTGAAAGACTAACTGACCAACTGATTAAATGACCAGCTGACTCAATCATAGAGAACTAAACAGAGATGCATTTTGGCAGTGTTAAGGAAACTGTGCCTTACACACTACCTAAGTCTCAAACCAATATTATTTTTATAGCTATTTTAGCAGTTTATCTGCCAATTACCAGGTACAGCTTACACTATTTACTATGAAAAGACCCTATTCCATTCTATAATTGAACATTTTCACTGAATGACATGACATAAATGGACTGTTTTAGGAATAAAAAAAAAATTGTGAACTTAAAATAAAATTCAGGTAGTAAATGGTGATTGGAAGCCTAAGTCCTGCTCATAAATTAAATAAGTCTTGTTCCCAAACTACAAAACCACCTCTAACATCAACTGATAAGAGTCAACTTGAATGACCACAAATTCCAAATTAACCCTAATTACTCTAAAAATATTTAACAGATACTGTACAACAATATTATTTAAAAAAATTAAATTCCCGGTAATAACAAAAAAGTTATGTCAGAATGGGATCAACAGCACAAAATACACCCGGTGGAGAACAGGACATTATCTAAATTGAATAGTACAGGTACATGTAGTGGGAATTCTTTTGGCTACAAAATGGAAACTTGACATAAAATACACCAACAAACACACATACATACATACATAAATATATACACAGGATGAAGGCCTACCTTGGATCAAATGCGAGGTAGATTGACTTGTCATTAACCTTGTGGACACAGCCAGCATATACAGGCTTCCTTTTTCCCAAATGAGTGACATACACATTGTCCCCTCGCAAAATGGAAGGACGGTTTTCTGACAATCCAAGGACCTGGAAACATTTTTTATCTCCTTGAAAATTCACTTTGTATACCCTGTGCAAGATGAAGATGCATGTTACCCCCCCCACCCCCTCTTGGCAGGATGCAAGTTGACCAAAGGGATGTTTCACCAACAGCAAATACTCTTGATAGTGATTCTTAGTGAACTCAATATATTGTTGAATACACATGATAGGGTCAATGTTAAAGGAACCCAATCCTTCACTTTGGTCATGAGTCGAGCCTACGCCCATTTGTTTGAACAATGAAAGTTCTGTCAACTAAGGTACTGAACCACTGTTGGAAAAGGCATAATTAAAATATGAGAAATATATGGCTCAGCACCGCAAACTTCTCCAGTAGAACAAGTAATGGCATAAACAATGAGGGAAAAAGAGTGACTGGAGAAGGAAATAAAGTGAGATGAGAAAATGGAGTGAAAGGGTAAGAAAATACTGAAAGTAGAGAAGATAAAATGAGGGGGAAAAGAAAATGGAGAGTGGAAGTAAAGGAGATGGACTGAAGGAGTAAGACAACTGGAGGATAAAAAATGAGGGAGAGGGAATAAAGAGAATTGAGAGAAGAGGACAGAGAAATGTGAATAAGTACTTAACACATAATTGGACACCACTCAGTCAAATGCACATATATGGAATTGGCAAAAGGCTACTTCACTTGTATTCACTAGATGAAGTTAAATTGTCTATTGGTACATAAAACTCAAGAACAGATTTCTCTTGAGCTGTGAACTTATACAATAACCTGCCAGTGATTATCTGTGCTAGTCCCAAAAGTGAATGTTCCCAAGAACTTACCTCAAGTTCTACACAACTTGCAGCTGAATAAATTAGAGGAGAGACTGCCCTTAGTTGAGCCTCAGGTATGCTGTAGTATCTTATATCAAGTTCCATCTGCATTTCTTCAATCCAGAGCATTGTTTCAAACCAATCAACATAATTATGTGGCCCCAAACCAGCTTTCATCATATCCCTGTAAAAATGATTATCAATAATAATAATGTACACCAAAGAGACATAAAACTCCAAACTTTAAAGTTTTACTTTGTATGGGCAATTAAAAGCAAATCATTAAATTCTTAATATTTCAATCCTTTACATATCAAAATTTAGGAAATTGAATGCATCACGTGAAAGGTGTTACCAATTAATAAGCAAGAAACCTGAGAAAAAATTAACACTCACTTTAGTTTCTTTGTTTCTGCTTGATGATTAGGAGCAACTTTATTTGGGTTGAAGTTCTTGCTGGCTATATGTTTCAAGCTGGGTTTGTATTTGTACAGGTGCAGAGGAATTTTTTCAGTTAAACCATTTTTAGATTTTTGCCTGGGGAAGAGAAATAAATAATTTTCACAAATCATTTTTCATTCAATAACTAGTAGTACTGTACAATAAAGACCTCGAGTACCAAATAATTAAGCTACAGCAACGTCGTTACAGAGACGGAATCCATTATTAGAACGTGGATATCAGCAGGGAGGCACAACTGTTCAAAACAACAGCCAGCATATAACACTAACTTGGCTTGGCTTATTTAAGTTCATAATATATAAAATAATCATACTTATGATACCCTTTCAGTAAATTCACTCGTTTATCATTTAATGTGTTCATTGTAGCTAGGGTTCTAGATTCAAGAAGCATTCAGAGCTGCAAAAGGAGATTCTTGAAGGTTCTCGAGTCCCAACATACGTATGTGGCACGTTTGGCCTTGTGTAATGCGAGATAAAATGGTTATACACAGTATACCCCTGGCAATGAAGTGGATATGATCACAAAATTCATTTAATTCTGAGTTACTTTGTTGTCAGGTATATTTAACAATGAATAACAAGGAAAAGGTTCCAATCCTTCGTTATTCTGTATTTTACATATGCCATAAATTAACAAAAACTACTACAGTATAATAAACAATGAAAATGATACATAGCACATCATAAAATACAAAACCACATACAGGGGGTATTTATGTACAAAATATAGCTCCTTTTGCCCTTAAACCATCCTATGGGTGATGCCAAGAGTGGATGTTTTCAGCCCAGCAGCAAACCAACTGATTTAAGAGATGCGTGGGTGCTATGCTGTGTGTATGCTATGACTACACATTGGGGAGACAGTGTGACACATCCATATATCATATACCTTCACCTCCCAAAGAGAATAATGTTCACACTCGTGCTCGTACTTCTTCTTTTTTAGAGTTTTATAATATATCTATTTTATTAGTAAGTCATATTAGAGTACTGAAATGATTTCCCCACAACTTCTACAATCTCATTACATAAATCAGTTGCCAAGCATACCCATCTCAAGGCCACAGCTGCCTGGCAATGCATGAAGATTAGGCAGGAGTGCACTTTCAGTGAAGATGAAGTGGATCACACTTATGATGTACTTTCATTTCTGTATATATAGTTAGAAATTTTCATTATATGACATTTGTTCACATAAGCATCATCTGCATCATCCATTATTTTATCTGTACTAAGTCTGTGTTTATCCAAATATGATGCATAAATAGTTTTAAAAATATTCATAATAAGTAATACAGTCAACCCTCACTTTACGCGGTTAATTCAACCCACAGGGTACCGCAGAAAGTGAGAAACGCGTAAAGTGAACAACATAACATATGGGATTAATTGAAATAGAGACCAGGCCGACCCCCAAACTCCACTTTTTGACGACACACAACTATGTTGTAGTAAAAATATTATCTTAATTTTATGATGGTATGCACACACAATTAATAATTAAGAGAAATATCAATAATATTAGGTTTTTTAACACTTACATTAGTAGAAAAGATGGCTGGGCACACGGGGATGGGGGGTTGGTTCCGAAGCAGAGGGCAGATTATTGGCCCTCACCTGTATCACTTGTATCAATTGTATCACTATCCACCACAGAGGCTTGCAGGGCCTCTTTGTCAAAAAGTCCATATAAGTCCATATCCTCACTATAATTATCACTATCACTGACTTGGGCCGGCTGTGGTGGGTGGCGGGTGAAGAACTCGGTAATGTTTTGATGACTGGGCGACCTTGTGCGCACCCTGCTCGCGCCGCTTACACAACATGGCGGATGGCGGGAGAGGACGGGAGAGATGGCGGGAGGTTTGGATCCAAAAATGGCGCGGCTCGCCAGCCGCTCTGCGCGTAAAGGGGTACACGCACCGCGGAATGTGAGCATTCCGGTTTCGGCAGGGTACCGCGTAAACGTGGAAACGCGGAATGTGGGACCGCGTAAAGCGAGGGTTGACTGTATAAGTACCCTACAACTGTTAACTACCATGCCAAAATACATCAGTTACCTCTCACATGACCGAGTGCTAATGCCATTGTTAAATGTATGTACAGTAACCACATAATTTGCAGAAAAGTTATCTTTATGTGCTAGTGTGCCTTATGAATAAAGAAAATATTATATACTGTTGATATAAAAGAATGATTAAGAGAGTAGGGATATATTCTGTGTGGAAGATGGAATGTATCTGAGAGTAGCAGGCAGTTTGGCAACACGCGTGACTTGCTGGAATACTGTACACTTCACCAAGGACATTAAAATCACACAAGTGTTCCAACACCAAAAAAATGGAAGTTTAGGAAACCCTTTTCAGCTTTTATACAATGGAGGGTTTGCGTGTAAAGAAATAATGAAAAAAAAAACAATAATAATTACAAAACTACATTTGGGTGCATAGCTATGGAGAGAAGGAAGGCAAGCAGTGCTGGCTGGGCTGAGGGAAAGACTCTCCCACAATCGTCAGACAGCAATCCCTTCATAACGACAGTATACCATTTCACCATAAATCTCATATTACAGTATTTAGGTTCACTTGGTGCCGGGGTTAATAAAACATGATCGCAAAATAATCAATTATCTCCCAAAACTTCCATACTCAATTCCAGATGAGCTAATGTGCCGTAGTATATTTCCGGTCTCTCGTTGCCAGCATACACCATCTCTCAAGCACCGTTGTTGTCACTGCTCAAGAGGGTTGGCATTTCCATAATGCTCTGGTTTATTCACTAATTAGTAGTCTTAAGTGCACAAGTAGCCAAATCGAGCCACCATGTATCACTCAAAAGTAATAAATAATGTTGTTATGAACTTATCTCCATATCAAATACTATACATTATGTTATGACCCCATTGTAAATTGATTTGCTGAAAGTTCTTTCTCCAGGAACACATCCTGAACTTCCAAGAGGAATTACTGCACATGTTAGAATGCATATACCCCTAATTACGTTAATTCTCATGGGGAAAAATTCTTCATTATAAAATGTTTCACTGTAAGTCACATTTCTGTGGAACACATCCCTGACATAATAATGAAGACCCCCTGTATGCTGTATATAATTATGTATAGTATATATGTAAGAAGCATGATCCACTTCATCTCCACTGAAAGTGGGTTCCATACACGCCTGCATAACACACGTCACAGCAGCAGCCGTGGCCTTAAGATAGCTACTTTGTCACTAATTCATTTTATGATATTGTAAAAGTTGTAGGATAATCATTTCATTGCTCTAATGTCACTTAAATAAAGGAAATATACTGTACAGTACAATACAACTAAAAAAATTAAAAATTAAAAAATGAGTATGAGTGTGAACAGTATTCTGTGAGGTGAACTTATTATGTATGGCTGTGTCATGCTGTCTACCCATACACAGTGTAGCAGCCAAGCATATCTCAAGTCAACTGGCTGGCTGAACTCATCCCAGAGAGTTTTATCTTTCGTAGGCTTAAATTGTTGATGTAATAGTGTAATTACTAACTTTAGTTGTTGAAGTGCAGTAATAAAATGAAAAGAACAATAACTCGTCCACTCTTGGTATCACCCATAGGCTATACAGTACAGGTTATATGTTGTTGTGATGTGGGCTGGCGGAACCACATGGTCTACGCTGTATTATTGTGATGCAGGCTGGCGGGACCACGCGGTATGCACCGTGTCGCTGCACAACAATAACAAATGACCCGCAGATATTTTTTAGAAATTTTTCAATAATTATAATTTTTTCCAAGATTTGTGTCATTATTCAGGAGTCCAGTACTCGGGGGTCTTTACTATAAATGATTTTTCTTGATCAAAAATATTTTCAAGGCTCAACATTTTTTCTAGGGTCCAAAATTTTAATCTACCCAATTCTTTAAGTAGAGGTGAAGGAATTGTTGATGAAAAACCATACCAGGGTCTGCTCATGTGGGATGAACATAGAGAAAATGGGAGTGAAAGACTGGTAAAAAGTGTACTGTACCACACATATCAGTGGTGAATGACAGTAAGTAGAGGGAAAGACCAGGAAGATGGATAAATGTACTTGAGGTAAGAGGGATGAAAATAAAAAATACTGTACGTACAGTGAAAACAGGCTGGTTCATGTGGTTAGGTCCCTGTTCCCCTTATGACAAAAAGAAATAGTTCAAGAGCAGTGTATTTCACCTAAATTTTATTTAGTTTTTAGACAATTTCAATAACTAAACTTCTGCCTTTAAATATTTTACGGAATGTACTTTTTGCCCCGATAAAATTCAACTTACTTTACTACAGGAACTCCAGGAATATAGGAGCCAAATTCATGACGAAGGGGGTAACCCGTGCTTGGTTTTTCATATGGAGATGTCGCAGCAGAGTCCTGGGCTACACTATCCAACACATTCACTTGCTGGTAAAAGAAAATAACAACATCAGTTAAAAGATTTCATTATCTAATACAAAAATAATCTACTTACTGTGAAAATATGTAAATTAGCTTTATTTATAAATACTGTACAGTAGACCCTTGTTATTACACAGTTCAATACAGTACAGTACATTAATATATCTCCATTAGCCGGAATCCCTCTTAATTGGAACTCTCCGATAGCCGGAATTGAAATTTACTTGGAAAATCGTTCCCAAAGCCATAATTTTGAACTATTTTCTGAGCGGCACAATTTCTGGAAAATTCAGAGAAAATTTTCCCAGTACCTCTACTGTACCTGGAAAATTCTGGGGATTGGGTAGTTTTTTCCTGGGTTTGAGAGATGAAAATCAGGTGCATTTTCCGGGGATGGGGGACATTCGTCCGACTTCGAGAGATGATGTACAGTAATGCGTAATTTCTGGAACTTCCTTGAACATATTTCTGTTACCCGGAAAATTACAGATTAGGGAATTTTTTCCGGCTTTGAGACATGATGTTATGTGTAATTTCTGGAAATTCCGAGGACATTATGACATTACCAGGAAAATTTCAGGGATGAAATTTTTTTTTCTGGCATCGAGTGTCATCTCATTACACAGAAATCTCTCATTCCTGGAAGTGCTCAGCACCAATTGTTCCAGCTAACGGAAATATCATTTGTACTGTACTTAGCTTTCATAGTCTTGTGGCACCCTAAATTATTCCCATTTTTCTTCACGGCATGGTCAAACTCCTGTATTTCACTTTATAAGCCCATAAAAAAAATATATATATATATATTCAAGTGGACCACTACATTCACCAATTATATTTTATGAGGATTATTTTTATTTATTCCTCACGTGATATATATACTACTGTATATTTTTTTGCACACTATGGATGTATAATTGTGTGTGCATGTAACCGAGTAATGAGGATAAAGATTATTACATATATCTACCCAAACTTATGAGTTGAAAATTAACCATAACAACACAGCTTGGCCTGGTAGTGAGAGGGTTAGGGAGATGTGGCTACAATGATGCATCTAACTTGGAAATAGCTAAAGCAAATGATAAGAAAAAAAATTATCTGTAAATCTTCATTTGTATAAGCTGCATCTGGTATTTGTAGCTTTAAAGCAGCATACAGCATATAGTGACTGAGGTTCTGTTCTTCATGTAACACATATAGAAAGAATCTAGGGGTATGGTAGGCAAGCCCAGAATAAATGAGCTTACTGGTATGGTTCGCCTACCGTGAGCATGTACTGGGTAGCTTTGTTGTCTGTAAATGACCCATGGAAATGCATGAATATTAGCCCCTCTATAATACTGTGTGTTTATAGTTCGACCCCCCAACTTTTTGCATACAAATACTATAAAAGAACTCGTACTGTACGCGAGTATATATGGTAGTACAGGAAGTTCTCGCTTAACGTCATGGTTACGTTCCTGTAAACCGCAAAGTTAACGGAAACAACGTTAATGGAATCACTGTTCCCCATAAGAAATAGATAAAATACGCTGGTTATGTTCCCCAGCCTCCCTTTGCCTCATAAACTACATGAAATATACATACATTAAATGGAATTTTATAGAAAATATATACTATTATACACCCAAAAAGATAAATAAACTAAATTATTGCTTAATTAACAATCATTTTGTATTGCACTCATTGGTGGGCAGAGGTGGAGCGAGTGTGTGGTGGGTAGTGGAGAAGGGGAAGGTGGTGAGTCACTGGTCCGGATAGTATGCACTGTTGTAGGGGTTAGGCCGAATGCTACACCAATGTCCACAGCACGTTCACCTTTCTCAAAACGGTTTAAAAACTCCATTTTCGTAGCAAGGCTAATGGTCTTGTGTTGTTTTTTCACAACACTAGCATCACTTAACACTTGATGGGCACTTAGTAGCCATTTTGAATGGCTACAGTACAGTATTTATAGCAAGAACACTTAAGCACACGTATGCTGTGGAAGCTTAACAAAGACAAGGGAGACAACGCTTGGGGACGCTGTGACGCTCCACTGGAGAGCGTAGCACGCCAAGATGAGAGAGGATGGCGCAGTGGCGCACGCCACACAAAGCAGTCCGTGTTGGGTAACAACGTTATAATGAATCGGTCGGGTCGTAAAACAACGTTGTCGGAATCATGGGTATCTAAATAGTTGCGACATTATAACGAAACAACGTTGTCGGGGGAAACGTTAAATGAGGACCTACTCTAGTCCGAAGATCCTTCCCCAGCAAGGGTGAAAGGGACACAAATGAAGTTGAAGTTAACAACCTGTATATTGTTTGATAAGGCTAAAAACACAAGCACTGTAAAGGGTAAAAAATTCTGTCAAAATGAAAAAAAATGGACAGATCAGTTTTGGGAACTAGTGCTACCTATTAGAAAATACAAACTATCGGGAGTAAATTATATAAATGAAGGAATGCAAGATACAAGTATTGTATGCACACATGTATATAAGGTATACCAGTATGTATCAGTATCATTAATGCAAATGCAAGCAAGTACAATTCATACCACTGTTCTGACAATGAAGAAGAGCTCATCAGACTGCTCAGGCTTAAACTGGAAGGCCACAGGTACTTGCAGAACCCCTAATGATCCTCCTTGTGTGTGACAGTCCACAGGATATTCCACACCTGTTGGTAGGTACAAGTATAAAAAATCCTTCATACCTTTTACAGTCAGCCTTGAGTGGAAGTGAACAAAAATTTTGCAAAAAATTTAGAGAAAAATTTGATACCATGTTTACAGCTGAGAAAAATATATACATCTTGCACAAAATCACATATGCCAATAACTAAAGCAGTCAAAATAAATATGACCCACCATTAAATTATTATGCAGTAAAAGCCCATGGACCCCAAGGTACCATTTATAGTATATTGGTTATTGGTATTAAATTGTATTTATAACTATTTTCACTGCAACAAAAGAAATATAATCAAAATTAAAACAGATGCAAAAACTTACCAGAGAGAACTCTGACAAATCTTTCACCACGAACAACACCATAGTGGTCATTCAGTGCAACTGTTGGGCAGCTGTGGAGCATTTCTATCTGCCGTAGGATGACAGGCTCTTTGCCTGTGTTCTTGATCACGATAGGGATGGATTTCTGGCCACCTACAAATTAAGTAAGCAATTACAGCTAGAACTTGAAAATTGGTGTAAATGAGCCTGTCTGGCTGACTTTGTGTTTGGTACAGCAAGTAATGCACAAAATAATAATAATTCAACAAATAAAAACACTTATAACATAATCATAGCATTGTTTTACAGTAATACTACCCTACAATACAACGACACAACTTTATCAATATTACTTTGATACAACATGATAAAATTGACTAACAATGAAAATGAAACAAATAAAAGTAGGTAATTATGTTCAGGAAGCTTCCCTGTGGCCGAGCGTGTGGTGTGAGAGGCAAATAGTCACACTGGAACCTGATAACCCAAGCTGGGCATTTAAACAGTGCCGGGAATAGGCGCGCGTTCTGGAACGTCACCCGAGGAGCGCTGGTCAGACGTTCTGGAACGTCACCTGGGGCCTAAGGGTTAATGTTAAACGCAGTGACTTGACCCAAAGCTCTCCTACCAATAAAGTGCCCTGCTGCCTCCTGGATATCTTTCTCTGTTACTTTAACCCTACGCCCAGGGCTGGTCGTAAGCCCCCACGTGGGGTAAATCGAGAAAAATCAACTTTTCCAAAAGTACTTTTAACCTTTTTAAACGATAAAACAATAAAAAGAAGTAAGAAAAACTATATATTGACCATCTAGAAACTTTCCTGGGGCCACAGTGGCGAGGAAGATAAGGGGACAGTGTTGTTTTGAGGGGAGAGCTCGTAGTCACTACACACTTAGCGGCCATTTTCTGCTTGCCTTTGTGTCCGGGATGGCCAGTAATGCATATATTTACTGATCATAATACTTATTTCCTATAAATAATTCATTTAGAATTTATTTTATTTTCATTATTTTTTCATAAAGTGCTCAGTGACACACACAAGCAGTCTGTTGCCAGGTTGAGGGACGACTCTCCAAGGCAACAGGCTAATGCGTACTAACCGAACTGAGCCCACCCACGCTACCGTGCGTGTGGCGTGACCACCAAATAGTCATGCTGGAACCTAATAGCCCCCGCTGGGCATTCAAACAATGGCGCGCATTCCGGAATGTCAACTGGGGCGTAGGGGTTAAGCATTCCTTCACCCTATCATTCCAAAATTCCATCTTTCTCCAAATTTTACTGTTATTCAAACTTTTATTTCCCTTCTTACAACATATCCATATACTGTACGTCAGCATACTTTGATCAGTACTCTGTCTGACACTTCTTCCATTTCCCCATTTCTGTCAAATTTCCATATTTCTTATCTGCATTTTATTCAAAGCCACAAGAAGCTCTGCAGCATGTCATTTCTCAAGCTCCTAATTTGCTACTTCACTTGCATCCAGAATCCACATATTGCTTATAAGTCTATGTCTCATATCTAAAGCACTTTAATTTGTAAATGGATGGGAAGCCATGAGAAAGGAGGGTGCTGCAAGAACGAGAAGTACAAGAGAAGGAGGTGAATTAACAAGATTCCTAAAATCTCTCTTATCTCTTCTCTTTTTTTTTCACTCCCTGGTACATGTGCACTCACCATAACTTATCTTTCACACTCCATTTTTAGTCTAATCCATAATATTCTGACTGGCCCCTAGTACCATTTATTTGACCATATCATACGTGTACACTATCTTAAAATTAAAAAATGAATAAATAAAATAAAATAAAATATTAATCACAACTACTGGGGACAAAAACACTATGATGCTGATGATCCCAGGTTAAACTGTTATCATGCAATAATTTTCAAAACCTTTTAAATATTATTAAAACAAAACAATGAGGGTTTATCATACCTGGCAGGAGTGACACACATACAGTGCCAGATCGCTCCTCAAAGGTGACATTAGTAGTATCATTATTTTTTTGTGGACAAATCACAACTCCATTCTTGTCTTGGGCAAGGAGTAGCCTGACAGTAGAGATATTTGTTAGTAAACTGAAAGTTATTATAACACATCACTGTTACTCATTATAAGTAACAGTGTAACATTTATAACAATTACACAGTACAGTATTATGCTATACAGGATGAGTGAAAATAAGAGATTGATTCTATAAAGAGTGGGCAGGGTTTCTGAAGAAAATTAAATGCTGTCTTATAAGACAAAGCTTACTAGATCACAATGATTCTCCCTAATCCACACCTCCACTTTTGTCCTGGTCACAGAAAATGTATCTGAATCTAATCTCAGATTTCTTTGTTCAAATGACTCTTAGTTCGACTGTTCCAGTTCACTGAAGGGGAGGGTGGTAAGTAAAAATATTTGCTCTCCAATTGTTATTAAAAGGGATTTCAGGAAAAATAAATCCTGTTTAAACCTAGATGTTAATAAAATGGCCTGGCATGCTAAAGTATGTTCAAAACTGAGAGGTGGTGTAAATTAATCAGAAGTAAAAAATAGGATCTAAGTTGTAAGGTAGTGAAGAGCAAGGATAAGTAACTACACCTACTATGAAAATAACAAATCCTCAGAGACTTCCCAGCACCTCAAACTATACTTGTTTAATTCCTTCACAAAGTGAACATTCAAAAGTTTCAGCCAAAGACCAGGATCCACAATGTAAAACTGAGTTAAAACACAACCCTCTTATGAAGGCCAATAGATAACTAATTCCACTAAAGTCAAGTGCTTTACATAGCTACATATTCCAAGTGTTAACTTAATGACCCATGTAATATTTGAGTTATAGACTCCAGATACTGTACTAACGAATGCAGTAAAAAAGAGAGCAAACAAATACCCGTAGTTACAAAAGAGCAAATATATAGTTAAAAAATAGCAACAAAGGGTGCACACATATAAGAGTACAGGTATTCTGTTTGAATTACCTTGTGGTTTCTATATACAGTACATGTACAGTATATAGGTAAATCTCGAGATACGATATCCCGAGAAGCAATATTCCACTTTAACGATGGTTATAAATTAAGACCATCTCGCTATATAACATCAATACAACTCACTTTAACGATATCCATCAAATAGCCATTGATATCCATTGGTTGGATTTTTTTTATCTCTAGTGCAAACTACTCAAATTAATCATTGTCTTGCAAGGATTCCAGCAATGCAAATTATATTTTTCTAAACCAAGTCAGTGACACTTTATAAGGAAACAATGTTTAATCGTATGCATGACCCAACTCTACCTTCACTTGTAAGCCTACCCACTCGCCACCACACGGCTAACCCATTCACTACAGCCCTGTGTTTCGTTCTTTGTCAAATGTAAACCCACCATCGCATGGCTCCACGATTATTGGCCAGCATCGTACATTGTACGTATCGTTTTTTTCTTATAGTATAGTGAGAGGACAGCGCTAACATTTAAATTGAACTGTGTTACGGTGACTGTGAAGTGATATTTACCGTGTTTTTGTGACTGTAGGGTGCGTTGACTGTTGTTTTGAATATGTGAGCAGTGTCGGCTACTATAATTTTTTTTATTATCATTGTTCACTCTGTTTTTATGAAAAGTGCTTTTGCTCTGTTTCTGTGACTGTGAAATGAGCAGGGTAACTTTAAAAATGTCTAGGAAGGCCAAGGCTTCCAAGACAACCATGTCTGAGGTGAAGCTTGACAGTGTTAAGAAGCATGAGACTCCCCAGAGGCTGAGTGGGAGTCAGAGTGATGTCTCCACTCCAACTACAAGAATTTCTTTAGCCTCGAAGGGGACATGTGATGATGACCAGGCTTATTCTTCAGGATGTGGTGAGTGTTGCTTAATTGTTTTGAACTGATAGTTGTATTGTCTGAATTGTTCTGTTGGTGATACATGTGTGTTTGTGGACTGGCTGGGAACGTATCCCATTAAACCCCATGTTACAATGCTCCATATTAACGATAATTTACCTAACGATGGGTTTTCAGGAACCTAACCCCATCATATCTAGAGGTGTACCTGTACCTGTACAAGAGAATGATGAAATGACTTTCATTTTTGCAAAACATTTAATAAAAAAATGACACACATACCTGTTGGTCTGATACCAGTGTTTGAGCCATCTGACTCTATGCTGTGGTGATGACTTGTGTTCTTCAAACTCTTCTTGAGAATTAAAATCTACCTGCAAGGAAGAGTAAAATGTTATTTCCAACTTCAAACTTTATCTAGTGAGTTTGTGTTTGAGGTAGCTATTGTATTACTTAACCTTTTGGACGCATTTTGTTTCTACACTATTCCCAAGGAGTGTCAATTTTCTAGCAAAATATGAAAATGGGAATTTGTCCTTTTATATTACTTGTTAACAAGGTAAACCCATAGAGATTCCATGTACAATGGGGTATGCTATAACGAACGGATCCTACTACGAATATTCCTATAACGAACGGTTTTACCTATAAAATTGAGAATGCTATAACGAACGAAACTCCTACAATGAACATTATTTAAAAAAAAAAATTTTCTAATTTATTGTTTTTTATTACAAATATTAATGATATTCTTTATTTCAGGGGTTTAGATGCATATTTATGCACTTTTTTTACAATTTTTACAATTTTATATTATATTTTTCAGTGTTAAGTGGTTGTATTTGGGGGCCTGGAACGGATTAATCCTATAACGAACGAATGCTATAACGAACAAGGTTCTAGAACCAATTAGATTCGTTATAGCATACCCCACTGTATAACATAATTATTTCTTAACAACAAGATCTGACTGCAAGGGAAAATAATATAGAAAAATTAATATTGTACTATAAAAATAGCCAATGTGAGATAACAAATATTATAAAAAATATTCTTCAGAAGTATTACTCTGGCATTAGATTAAAAATAATTTATTATACAGTATAACTGTAAAATATCCTATACATTTAGACTCAACTTGAGGAAAATTTTAATAAAAAATATTTTGGATTACAGTATTTTCACTAATTTCAGGTACAACAAACAAATAGATTTAAATGTTTACTATGAAGCCATGCACTGCCTACTTGTAAACAAGTCATAAATATTATATATTGTACCGTATTACCAAAATACATTATATCTTTATTTATGCATTATGATAAATAGCACACTTGAAAAGTATATCATAACATTATTACACCCATTATGCATTTAAATAACAGTGAAAACAAAGTGAAATGAGGGAAAAGAGATATATGCATCGCAGTGAGAGTGGCAGCAATCAACTGAGGTTATCACCATATGGCAACAACTATGGATTCTGTCATCTGCCAGACAGGAGAGTTTTAAGTTTTTAAGTTTAACAAATTTATTGACAAAGCTTGGAGTACAATTTGCATATTCTGAGTAATTCAGTCAGGACTTGACACTGAGGGTGGTATCACTTCTCATTGCCATGCAGGACAGAGGTTCATACACAAAGAAATACATCATATTCATTAACAGTATACAGGTATATAGATCAGAATCATGTGGGTGATATCACTATTCACCGCCATGCAGGACAGGGGTTCGTACACAAAGAAATACATCATATTCAAGGCAGGAGAGGGAGTGTTGTGGAGCATTCTAGTGATGTGGTTCATTTTTTAATGATGTGGAGAAAAGTCGAACACTGAGTTTACTACAGTACTGTATTTATATTTTGTTCAACTACAGTCTAACAGCACACCCAAAGAGTTAAAGATCTTACTGGGCTAATAATAATACCTGTATATCTATCATTGTACAGGTTGAGGAACTTCAATCCAAAAAGTTTGGGGCTGATTGCATTTTGATTTTTAAATGCTGTATTTTTGGATTTCCAATGCCAAAGCCTACTTCCATACATTAACCTAAGCCCAGGTTAACCAACACATGCACAGGTCAAAATCCACACCTAAAATCTGACTAATGTAATTTTTCTACTAAATCACCACTTCTTGCCTCTTCAATTTCACTGAAAAAAGATATTGTACCACTTACTACAATCTCTCTCATATTTTACAACAATTCCATTAAAAATATAATTAAAATTCTTTCACAACTGAGGAATCACATTGAGGAAAATTAAACTACATGTGTTAGGTTAATCTGCTACAGTATCTCATCTCTCTACACAAAGCATTGTACAGTACTGTATTAATAGCTGAATAAATTTTCTACCATGTTGATGCTTACTCATAAACATTAACCAGTTTCTATGAAAAGTGTTCCAATACAAACACAAAAGTAATTTTCAACTTACTGAACAAATTGGACAGGGTCGCAAGGCGCTCTCTCCATCTGAAAAATATTGGATGCATTAAGGCTTTTGTATTCCATATGTGCATAGGAACTATTCGTCAATGTGCAATCCCTTGTATACCCCATTTTCTGATAAAAAACACATTAAGATATGTTAACTCTGTTTTGTATCCCCTCTTATCCCAATTACTAGCCCAGGAACTTTATAGAACAGTACATGTATAATCTAACCAAAAAATACAAAACCTATGGATCCCTATGTGCTGTAATGTAAAGTCTACAGCAGATTCTAAAAGAAGTATTTTTTGAGATCTTATAATTCTATGTCCTCTTAATAAACTCCCTCCTTTTTTTCCATTTAACATCCAGTAATGGTACAATATTACTTCTTCAGACCACAGTCCCTCTTAACTGAGACAATGGTTCAAAATTACAGTATTGTACTATATTGTTATCTAACACTCGGCAAACACATGATTCACTACTACTGTATACAGTATACAGTACCTACACTGTCAATTTCTGACTCATCTAACTTGGACCAACTTTTAACAACTTCTGTTTGAATGAGGAGTTACAGTAATTACCTGTAGCATTTGTCAAGGGATATTTCTTAACTAAAGCCTTCTGTATCTACAGTACTTAACCATTTTATATGGAGTTATTACTGTATTTCCAAAGATACATTGTTAGTGTAGTCCATAAAACCAGTGCTAGAAAGTCAATACTGTACAGTACAATAAATAAGTTGAGGAGTTTGAACTACACCACAATAGATTCCTACAATTACAAAGTTGAACACTTACCATTCCAAAGTTCAAAGAGCATTTACCCCTGAGGAGTACATTCATCAGCCCCAAAGCTGGATGGCAACAACTAACATAATGAAACTATAAAATAATTAAATGACTACTGTTAGTAGTTACCCAACTAAGTCCTGAAAATTTACTACACAGACCCTTATGCATGAAAGTACAGCACAGAGTACATTGTACTTGCACACATTGACTGCTCTATTCCCTAACTCTTCGAGTTAGAGGATAAAAAGCAAAAGTAATCAATTGAAGCAAAAGCTGAACTGAAATAATTAACTTGAAATAACACATTTTATAAAGAACCAGGCAGTAATGAATCCAGGTTCCTGTCATCTATACTTACCCATGGTTCACCAGTGATGTGAAATACCAGCTCCCACGTTCAACTTATAGCCACTGAGCAACCCCCTGAAACATATGAAATTTTTTTTATTAAAATCCTGTACTGTACATATATAACAGACCTCATAATATTGTATATGTATACCTATGCAGTTGACAATCATCCAATTGGTAAAAATTGGTGTACATTATAAATACTGTATTGTACTGATAAGAAAGGTACAGTACAGTACCATGGCTTGTACAGGCAATGAATATAACTCATCCAGGACTAACAGAATTAATGCAACAAAATACTGTACAAAATTTTCAGAGGTATATACCAGTACTGGTTGATATATTCTGTAAGTTACTGTACCATACTATGTTTATCCTAGGGGAAACAGGGATACAGTACAGTGCTGTACTGTTTTTCAGTAACCTCCATCCTTACAAGCCTACAAATAGACAATCCTCCAGGCAAGTAACAAAAATTCCTAAGCACCATTCTGTTCATATACAGCTACTCCTTGATTTACGACATACTCGACCTACGACCACCCGCACATACGACCTGCCTCAGTCGATGCAACCACCCGCACATACGACGGCAGCAGTCGATCCCAAATTTTTTCAAATGACGCGCCTATTTTCTAGACCGAAACGTTTCCATCCCGTACGAGAGCGTTGCGTCGCCTCGTGGCTACAGCACCCACACTGTAGAGCGCTTAGTTGGTGTTTGGCTGTCGTTGTTGTCGATAGTGATCGCGCTGTGTACTGACAGTATTTTTGTTTCTAATTCACTTTAGAATGACTGGCAAGTGTCGAAGTGAGAGTGCTGGTGGTGCTCAGAAGAAAAGGAGACAGTCAATTACTTTGGAGACGAAAATGAAGATAATAATGCAGTATTGCAGTATGAAAATGGAAAAACAGTAGCAACCTTTTAACGCGACCTAGGCTTCTCGCACTCAACCATATCAACAATTTTGAAGGACAAGGAATGTATTCGTGAGGTAGTGAAAGGATCAGCACCTATAAAGGGAAAAAAATAAAGAAAAAAATACAAGGTCCTATTCATGAGATGGAAAAATTACTTGTGATATGGATGGAAGATCAGATACAAAAGCGTGTGCCCTTAAGCCTTCTAACCCTACAGGCTAGGGCAAGAAGCCTTTTCAAAAGCCTGAAGGAGCAGGCAGGAGTTGAGTGCGACCAAACCTTCACAGCAAGTAATGGGTGGTTCCAAAGGTTTAAGAACCGCTACGGTTTGCATAGTGTAAAGGTGAGTGGAGAGGCAGCAAGTGCTGATGTGGGTGCTGCCGAAGCTTTTAAGGAGGAGCTAGAACGTGTCATCGTGGAGGGAAATTATTTGCCTGAGCAAATACTTAATGTGGATGAAACTGGCTTATTATGGAAGCACATGCCAGAACGGACATACATCCACAAGGAGGCGAAAACAATGCCGGGATTCAGGGCATTCAAGGACCGAATCACACTGTATATCATTCAGAGAACCCAAGGGCTTTAAACATGTCAGCAAGCACATATTGCCAGTGTTTTATCGCAGTAATAAGAAAGCATGGGTGACCCAAGTACTGACTGATTGGTTCCTGACTTGTTTCATTCCACGAGCCAAGGAGTATTGTCTGCAACATAGGATTGCATTCAAGATTTTGTTAATTTTGGATAATGCTCCAGGACACCCACCACACCTGGACGACCTGCACCCTGATGTTAAGGTAGTCAACATTCCACCTAAAACTACCTCTATCATCCAACCCATGGATCAAGGTGCTATTGCTGCTTTTAAAGCGAATTATTTATGTACGACCTTCGCTCAGGCTGTTGCTGCTACTGAAGGCGAGAAAACGCTCAAGAGAGTTTTGGAAGGACTACAACATTTTGAAATGTATAAAGAACATAGCTGCAGCATGGGATGAGGTTACAGGTCAGTGCATGAATGGAATATGGAAGAAAGTCCTGAAAAGATATGTGAACAGTTTCAGGGGATTTAATGAATATGAAGTAATTTCCGAGATAAGTAACAAGATAGTGGAGTTGGGTAAACAGCTGGAGTTAGAAATTGATAATGAAGATTGAGCAGTTGGTTGAAAGTGTAGCAGAAGGGCTAAGTAACGAGGATCTTATTGAACTGGAAGCACAGAAAATTGCCAAGGAAGAAGATAGTAAAAATGTAGAAGAGCCTGCACCCCCTAAAAATTTTCAGTGAAACAAATGGCAGAGGCATTTGCTCCAATCAATAAGGGGATGCAAATGTTTGACGGAATGGATCAAAATGTTGAGTGTTTTGCAAAAGTTGACAGAATGATCCAAGATGCACTTGCTTGCTACTGGGAGATTTACAATGAAAAGAAAAGACAAACTGTGCAGTCTAAACTGGACATATTTTTTAATAAGTCCCCCATTGCTGTCTCCTCACGCCCCACCAGTGCTGCTTCTTCACTCACTAAAGATGATCCAATACCTTCAACAAGCAAGTTCCCCTGTATGTTAACCTGTCTGAAGAAAGCGACGTTGATGACCCACCCAGCCCTGTCTCCTCCGCTGCTTCATCCAGTTAATGTAGTCTCCATGTATAATTAGAAAATTATGGGGGCCCCGTGTGCATTCAGCTGACTACATTAAACGTAAGTGCACAGTAACACTGTATTCATTCTTGATTACTTTTACTGTACTGTACAGTGGTCCTTCGGTTAACGAACATAATTCGTTTCACAGAGACGTTCGTTAACCGAAAATTTTGTTAACCGAATCTATTACCGGGTATTTCAATGGGATATTGGGTAATTGGTTCCAACTCACAGAAAAGTATACATACAAAGTACTGTATACCGGTAATAAAATTAACAAAACATTAAATATAAACTAAATACAGTACAGTATTGTACTGTACAGTATACTGTATAATAATAAATAAAAAACAATAGAATACTACTATATTTTAACTAACTTTGAGGTGTGTATGTCGTTTTCCCGGCAGCTATGTTACATGTCAAACAGCTGATTGTAGAGGCAGTCGATGATGACATGCCATATTCTTTACAGAGTGCATTGGTTCTAATGCCTTCTTCATGTTTCATAATAATTTCTTTACTGTATATTATCAACATGTTAACTAAATTTCAGAATGACCAATTTTAATGAAAAAATGCAAAAATATTCCAGAGACCAACAAACTGAATGTTCACTCCACTGTAAACAAAGTTAAGCTGAGAAGCGTTGTTGAGTGATTCAATCAGCTGATTGGCGCACAAAAACTGTTCCCTGTACAGTATATACTGTATTATCAATACTGTATGTTAACTAAAACGCAGAAATATTCAAGAGACCAACTTTCTTGATATTTACTCCACTGGAAACGAATGTACACATAGAACTGATTACTATACTATTGGCAGACTGGCTGATCAGCTGATGCGCACAACAAAACTTGTTTTTCGTAAGGATTTCGTTAATCGAAGTTTTGTTCGTAGATCGAACTGAAAATCCCTATGGGAGCTAATTCATTAACCGAAATTTTGTTAATAGAACCGTTCGTTAACCGAGGGACCACTGTATTTCATTTTAGATTTTCTATGTACAGTGGGGTATGCTATAACGAATCTAATTGGTTCTAGAACCTTGTTCGTTATAGCATTCGTTCGTTATAGGATTAATCCGTTCCAGGCCCCCAAATACAACCACTTAACACTGAAAAATATAATATAAAATTGTAAAAAAGTGCATAAATATGCATCTAAACCCCTGAAATAAAGAATATCATTAATACTTGTAATAAAAAAACAATAAATTAGCAAAAAAAAAAATTAAATAATGTTCGTTGTAGGAGTTTCGTTCGTTATAGCATTCTCAATTTTATAGGTAAAACCGTTCGTTATAGGAATATTCGTAGTAGGATCCGTTCGTTATAGCATACCCCACTGTACTGTATTATTTTTTGCATTTTCAACTTACGACCTGGATTTGGGTACCTAACCCCGCCGTAAGTCGGGTAGCAGCTGTATATTTTTTTAATTGTGGAAACCTAATGGTTGATTACTTATTGAGCAAGGAGCCAAAATGCAAGAAGATGAACAAAAAGATGCAATAACTTCATCAAGTACAGTAGCTACAAAAATAAAAATTTTCATGTACAGAACTGTACCTGGACAAATATATAGGATTAGTGTGCCTGCACAGCATAAAGATTACATTATGTGTAGGCAGTCACGGTACTCGGTCAGAAGCCACATATTATATTATGATAAGGTAAACCACATTTTAATATCACTGATAACACATAGCAGATAGCGATATTAGTACAGATGTATAAAGATTTTAATGTCATATCTAACTACAGTATATGATTAGACAAAAACAATGATGCTTTCAGGCCAGCCAGTGAAAAAAAATAACACAGAAACAGTTCTGTATGGTCTTCTGATTCAGAAATACCCAGTGCCTGTATATGTACAGTAGTATAGTACATGTAGCAGCAGTACAGTAAATGAGTTGATGTCTTGCCTAGATAATAAGAGAAATGTACCATACCAATATATGATCAATATTAACTTAAACCATATCCTGCTGATTTAAAAATGCCTTGTAGAAACAGACAGAGGAAAAATACCATGCATGAATACAGGAGGTCCCGACTTACGAACGTCTGACTTACGAACGCCCGCTGATACGAACAGGGTTAAACTTGAAATTTACAGTATATTTTATTTATCAGAGGACTTATTTTTTACATTTTTTACTTTCATTTACTGTATTTTGTCATTCTATTTCTTCTTTTGCCTTAAATTAAGTGATTTTACATGTATATAAGGACTTAGGCTATGATATAGTGGGATTTTAAACATTGTTTTGTAAGTACAGCAAGCACATAGCATGTGTTCCAATTTCCAAACGTCCTCAGGGACGGAACCCGTTTGTAACCCAGGAACCCCTTGTATACAGTATTGTAGCACCCTGACTGTGACAAGTGTTAATTCTGCTAATTATCAAAATTTGATGGGAAAAAAGTATATGCACAAAGTGTACAGCCTGTTTTGATATGTATTTAGTCATAGTCACCCCGAGCCCTGGAAAATGTGTAACATTCCAAATAATAAATATCAGTATGGGAGCGAATAATGGTTAACTATATTTTGATAGTGTTTTGAAGTTAGTGGGAACATTTGAAAATAAGGGGTAATCATGGTAAACTGCAAAAAATTAATTTAGTGTCAGTCTATTATAAGAAATTGTGAGTACCCCAGTTGTAGAGGCATGTAGTGTCCTGATAAATTTACTAATTATGACCAAAATTTGATGGGAAAATAGTGTAGCTATGTTTAGCCCCCTCCCCCTTCTTCTGAAGGCAAATACTGTATCAATTATGAAATGTGTGAAAATTGATAGTAACTAATATTGATGAGGGTTCCATATTTTAAAAACAGGGTTATCATTCTAGGCCACATTGCACCATCTTCATTGCCACAAGTTATAAGCGGTTAATATATAGAACTGACCCGCCAGGGCTGCCTCAAATTTCACCATATCAAAGTAAGTTCATTCTGTTTAATATACCGGGGAAGTTAGGTAAGGTTAGGTAGGTTTCTTTGGTTAGGTCTGTTCTTCATACCCACAAATGTTAATTAGCGTTTATTTTAAAAATATCCATTTTTAACATATTTCCAAACTACAACAGTGTTCACAATGAAAATTCGACGTTTTTATAATTGTTTTCAATCAATTTCGCTCGCGGGTTAGTCCTATATAATTATCGTTATAAGCTATTGAGTGTGAAGGAGGTTTGGTTAAGATTTTCACTTGTGCCCAGCCTCTCAACATGGATGCAAGTGAGAATAGCGAATATCCCTTTTCAGACATTATCATATTAATACAAAAATCAAACAGTAATGCAATTTAGAGATCTTTGTAAAGCATGGCATTCTAATAAAAAATTTAACCTGTGGCCAATGCAATAGTCCCTGTCTACATGCAAGAGAAATACAGTTAACATAGGGTATTTATTTTTTAGGTTAAATCATACTGAGGTTAATTTTCTTTTCTGAATAATTTCAAATAAACTAAGGTTAGACATTTAAGGTTGTTAGTTTTCTGGATAATTTCAAATAAACTAAGGTTAGATATTTAAGGTTAGGTTTTTAAAGCATTTGCACAAGAAATTAAGCTAAAAGTGATTAAAGGACATAAAAATGCTTTAAAAAATATTATTTAATAATAACAACTCATATGGGCTTTATTCACTTATTCACTCAATCTATTAAATATTATAAGCTAAGATAATGTTGAACGACCGACCACTTGTCTTGAGGGGAGTTATAGCTTGTAAAAAAAAATCAACGTTATCATTGTTCTCACAAGGCCACAAGTCGAACATAATTCCGCTTCCGCTTCCTATAGCAACATTACAGTATTGTATACCATACCACATTTTATACTTTCGTAACACGTCTGCATCTTACTAAGAGTGATTTTACCTTTAAGTAATTGGTAGTTTATATCTCAAACTGGTATTATGGTAATGCTAAAAAATAAATTAATTTATCTAAGTAAATAAAAGATATCAATATGACAAAATTAAGAGTAAAGCTTGAATAAAACGACTTAGAAATATTCTGCATAAATGAGCGTGAGAAACTTACCTGTGCTGTAGCCAGATTCCCGCTGTAACTGATAATGACTGGCCACACTGAATTCCAGCCACCTCTACAAGTCGTGTATACACGGCCAGTACACGTACATTCGACAGACAACTTTTAAGTCGGTCAAGTTTACTTATTTCAATACCAACTGGGAAAACGTATCGTACAACTTGAACTTATGAGCAACAACTCCGAAGTGGTATACTGTATAGATACAGTATATACAGTATACAGTGTGTGTGTGTGTATATATATATATATACACTTCATTTATATATATATATATATATATATATATATATATATAGCGTTGCTCTAAATAAATAATTAGTTTAATATTAAAGTACTGTACAGGTATTCAACGCCTTGTAATACGAAATGTGCGTCACATGAATCATGACGACAACCAAATTCTCGTTAAACGATAACTTTCCGTCCACACGTCACGCTCACACCACAAAACAAACATTAGGGGTACAATGACGTATATATGATGGAAAAATACTGACAAACAAGGTTTATTGTTGTGAATTATAGACCATAGGATATATTATGGGAATTAGATGACTAGAATTTTCTCGTGGGGTATAAATCACCATCAGATTGGTTATACATTATATGCTGTCAGAGATTATATTTCAACAATTTCTATGATCCCAAGGCCACGAGAGGCACACTGGATCTGCAGTGAATATAGTAGTAGTCTATTTTTACAAAATCTAATACACCACCCCTTAAAACACAAACAAGATTAGTTGTCACTACAGACACACCATTGAAATATAAAGTCTGCCTACAGTATAACTTTGCTTTGTATAACTTTGCATTGTGTGTGAATCATGAAACAAGATTGTGTTCGTGTGTGAATCGTGAAGTAAAACTAATATAATTATTCACAGTTTATAACACATCATGGGACACTCAACTGTTGCTATTGTGGGGTATGGGATGTTTGGGTTCACACTCAGGATGGGATGGAGAAAGGAAACTCACAATGTGCTCTCTGTATACATATTGTATTGGATGTACAATGCAGCTTGGTGCTGGGAAGTGGCAGCGTGGTTACAAGCGTGATGTAGAGAGAGCTGGTTGGTGAGGGTGCTCAGAGGAGGACCAGCTTGTGGGTCGCCAAGGTTGCCGGCGAGAACGAGGGCCGCCAGGCAGGAGGAGGAGGTGGTGTTGCTTGCCGCGACTGTAGCTAGAAGAAAAGAGGTCAGGTCACCACGAGGTCAGGTCTTAAATAGCGGGGGTAGGCGTGGCTTAGTAGTTGACCTCCGTGATGTATGGTTGACCCAGACCACGAGGCATACACTAGGGAATTCGCGGGGTCGGCTACTCAGCGACAAACAGCGTTTGTAGGGGAGAAATCCACTACATTATCGTCTCTAAACATCCTTTAAATTTCTTGTTAAGAGGGGCTGGGAAGAGTAATATTTTTAAAATGTTCAGATTCTGGATACTTCACAGCTCGTGAATTAGTGATGGCCAATTAGTGCAATATATACTCTGAGAAATTTCGGAATTCGGGGGGGGATACTGCGTAAATAAATTATTTAACAAGAAATCAACCAACCAAAGCAAAGCTAACCATATTTAACAAGAAATCAACCAACCAAAGCAAAACTAACCATATTTAACAAGAAATCAACCAACCAAAGCAAAACTAACCATATTTAACAAGAAATCAACCAACCAAAGCAAAGCTAACCATATTTAACAAGACATCAACCAACCAAAGCAAAACTAACCAATCTGACCTTTAGCTGTACATTTATACAGAACATGATTTACACCGTAGCCCTTAAAGATTCCAAGATGTGTATAACTAACAAATCTACGTGAATTTATAGACCACAAAGACTAGAAAGCATGTTTACAGGCAAATGAAGTCTTCCCCTATCTTAAACAAACAATTACAATTTGCCCTGCGAGAGGGCTAGTTTATTGGGCACCCCTTTTATCCTGGCCAAGACGAAGTACACAAATGTTTACAGCGCCCAGCAGGGAAGCATATGTACCTTAGAGATTTTTTTTTAGATCGCCCCCGAGGGGGCTAGTTTATTGGGAGCCCCCTTACGTCCTGTGCAAGGTGAAGGGCAGAAGCATTTACAGCGCCCATCTGGGAAACATGCGTTCATGCTTGCCTTTATGACTCGTGCATTAAGGGCGTAAAAACCTGAAGGGTCATGGGTTTTGTCAGCAATTTACATAGTGACAGAATGATGAATGTGTTGGGGGAAAATTCACAGTACAATTTATCTGTTTATGGCAAAGTGTGGCAGGTCCCTAATAATGTCAAGTGCCAGGCCTCTCTCTAGGAGGAGGGATATCTGGCCAGGGAGGGAAGAGGTGTTGGTAACGGCTGGGGACCTGTAGGAGGTCATAGGGCAAGTGAGGATGTAGTGAGAGAGGGTGTGAGAGTCGGGTTGCCCAAATTGTTTACAAACAGTGCGGCCAGGCTCAGGGTTGCCAATGTACTAGGCGTGGCGAAGTACAGTGTGGGTGGTGGTGATATGGTGTGGTGGCACAGGTGCAATAGGGGTGGAGGGAGGCACATAGGCATGGACAATATTGAGGGACATACACTTTTAGTTATTGTGATGGCGTGTGCGCCGACATGCCGGTGGGGTACGGGTAGCCGGGGGTAGTGTCCTCAGGTCCAGGTAGCCCTGGTGGAGACAGCACAGACACAGGAGCGGGCACAGCATGCGGTGGGTGGACAGGTTGAGGCACCACGTGTCGTGAAGATGAGGCACGACTTCGCTCGGGGGCAGCAGGACACACCAGGGCAGGTCCGGTAGGCGCTACACCAGTAGTGAAGGCCGCCGGCGGTGGAGTAGGCCGTGAGCAGGGGGGTCTCACAGGGTGACTACCAGCTTGGGTCAAACCAGAAGAAAGGAGTGACTGGGTGGCAACAGATGGCAAGAGTAGGTCGGAGACGGTGGTAACGAGAAGAGTTTTTCAATACGGTTGGTAAATTCTTGGAAGAGGGATATGATCTATGTCATGTCACTGAAGGGGGGTTGTGGGGGGGCACCGTGAGCACAAGGCCTGACAGCATCAGAGTAGAGACGGGGAGGAGGTCCAGTAGTAGTTGAGTTAGGAGACGGCCGGGACTGCTGTGTTGCAGCCAGGTGAGGCCAGGCAGGGGCAGGTGTTGTTGAATTGTTGAAGAAGGCGTTGCTAGAGATGGAGGGGACGCAGAGGGAGGCGGCTCGGTAGACTGGGGGAAGGCGTTGTGGTAGACGCAGCCTTTGGGGAGGCTTTTCCCCTGGGGCAAACGGGCGATGGGGCATTGTCATGAGTCAGCATTATACTGGCCGCCACAGTTACAACACCCGGGATCAACTACATAGCCCACACCACCCCTATTAAGGTGGTCTTTGATTTTCTGGGCACAGGCGACGGAGTTATGGTTACGTGAACAGAAGTGACATTTGGGACGATCACGTCGGCAGCAGGCAGTAAAGGTGTGACCCCAATGAGAACAGATAACACAAAAAGCAGGCCCAAGATGATAGGGTTCTGCATAAAGTGGAGGGAGGATTGGGTGGGCCTCCACAGTGATTGGGCATTCCCTTCCACTTGACAATGACAGCAGCTTGTGGGATCTTCCCCCAGTAATGTCGACATATGCTGAGTATACTAGAATTAAAGTCACACGCATCTTTGATGTCAGCATATAGGTCTATGTTTGTCTTTCGTACCCCCAAAATGTTCTACACTACTGAGGGTATACACAAACACTTATCTTGAAAATAGGTTCTTATTCTCGTACAGGAGATGTACAGGGGAACTAATAAGACAGAGCACTTCCACACCATAAGGACTGGTAGTCTCCACTCTTTGTATCACTGCGCGCTGGCATGTACAGATGCCAGCATTCACAAGCTGAATACATAAAATGTAAATATGATAATTCATATACATAACATGGTGCATAATAAATGGAAATATTACATAGGATTAATACATGTTCTGTAATACTTTACTATACATAATTAATAGAGTAATATATGAATACACAGCTTAAGGTACTACTTCGTGTCCATATTATACAATAGGGGGAATCGTTTCACTAGGATGTGGCAACATTCATCAGCGTCTACTGGGGGGGCGCACCAGGACAACCCCATCAAAGCCAACAGTACTAAGTATTTCATAGACCTCAGGAGTCTGACACTTGATAAAGTTACGGTTCTTGTCAGAATTGAATGTTGAGACCGTGTTGTCTGCAGTACTTCATCATCCAATTAAAGCATTCCTCTACGGTTTTCAGTGAGTCCTTGAGGAAGTGCAGATTCAGCTTACTTGGCTGGTTGGCAGAGAGCAAGGTGATAGGGTCCGTGGCATTGGTGTTTCCACTCCAGCTCATGTTTCCCGTAGAAACATTACCGTCAGTGTCATAATCACTGGGGTCTGACTCTTGAAGGGTGTTGGATTCAGTATGACCAGGCGAGTTGGTAATGGCATCCGTATCAGAGATGTCTGCGTCCACGAGAGAGCCTCTTCTGGGACGTTTATGTCGACCCCCATGCTGGCAAAAACTTGCCGGCAGAGGGGACCTTTGTGGGACGATTGGGTAGTCAAGAGCACCTCTGGGCACGTCTGTCCCCTAATGTGGTCACGCCACGAATGTGTATCTTAAACAGGTGCATGCTCCGGAAAAGGCTCTGACCTATGAACTTCAGCTATGACCTTTATCTTTGAGAGACTTGTCTGTGTCAAGTGATGTTTTGAGACAAGATGCTGGCATATCTAAGTTTGCATAATATCGGTCTTCGTGTGAGTCATGGAAAGTTAACTTTTGCAGGAAAATTTCAATGGAGGGGATCCCACACAGCTGGTCGTGCGTATGGCAACTGGCAAGCGGTATTAACAGTAGAACTGGCACGGGCACATATTGTAGTAAACTTTTTTCTTGTGACACATTAAGTGGTAACAACCGTCCTTGCTCGAATAAATTGTAAGATTCAATTTAATTTTTTTTTCGTTCTTCAAGCAACGCAGCAAAGCAAGAAAACATAGAGTAAGCTATACTTTGACGCCAAGAGAAGGTACTCAATAATCAACAAAGTTTTTTCTTCGTTCTATTCTAAGACTATTAATACCAAAAACAATCAAAAACGTTCTGGTAAGATGAAATATTTGGTAATTTGGTG